GAGGGCAAAACTGTATCAAGTCTCGAAGATATGACAGTTGTCGAAGGTGTTCCAGAGGACGGACGAGAGGATCCGCCGAGACGTGTGGAATTCGACCCACTGAGCGGACGAGCGGAGGCCCGAGCTGAGATGTTATCGCCCTCTGAACGTGGTGCGAGTTGCTGAATAGTAGGTCTGTGAATCAGCACCAGTCTACTTGAGCCCACCGGTGTATTGGAGACTGTCGCGATTGCTTGTCGCACTTTCTCTTCAAAGTCTGGAGTAATTACTACTTGTGAAGCAGTATTATCTGGCATCCCATTATACAGCGTCGAGTCTGCCGGCTCGTCTTGTGGGTCAGCGATATCTTCGATTACAGGAAGTTCCAGATTTTCTTTCTCTACATTTAATTCGTCGAGTTGTTGAAGATCCTGTTGCGGTTGATCCTGGTGGAAGCGATGAAATTTCTCTGGAGGTTCCCACAGACACTCACCAGTGATGTGGTTGTAGTAGTAAGGTACGCCGTCATCCTCATTGATAAACATCATCCACGGACAGCCTTCAGCATCTAATGCATTTTTGGAATCAAGTTCAGGCGTTAAAGTGTCGCGTGTTTCTTCATGATGAGCATCATCTTTTTGACGGAGCGAATTCTCTTCTCCACTGTCGTCGTCTTCTCCACTAAGTAATCGATTCAACTCGCTCACTTGTTCAGCAGTTGATGGTCTTCTTCCTCGCCCTCCCGTTATTGCAAGCACATTAGGGACATATGCATCTTCTTCGGTCTGGACAGCAGCAGGTGGTGGCATCCATCGCGTCTCCATCGTTTCCGTGTTGAGATAGTAAACGTGTCCGTTGTCATCAGAAACTTGCGTCCACGGCTGAATATCACTACCATTATGGAAATGTGCTGGAGGTTTCCAGGATGTCTCTCCTGTGACTGAGTTCCAGTAGTAAATCTGGCCGCCGGCATCATCTTGCCGCGCCTCCCATCCAGAGTCCATAGCGGCCGGGTCGTGATCCTGCTCTCCATCCATGCAGTTTCTTTTCTTCCTTCACCAAGAGCCGCTCTACTTTCAATCTCTATTTTTGTGTCTGTAGTGCCTTTAATTCAGAGTATATGTAGCTTGAAAAATAACGAAACAATTTAGCGATAAGCAAAAACAAAACAAAAGAATAATTCGCGGCACCAGAAAACTACACACTCGAATATCTGCTTGGTAGCCTCAGACCACTTGCATTCGCGCATACGATGAAATCTTGCACCTCTCGGCACTTCCATTGATAAGAATCGGCGGTTCACGTGATGAGCTAACACAGACTCTGATTTCAGAGCGACAGATTAGCAGTTAGCAAGCGCAACTCCATTAGACAGAGCATCCTAGTATTGTGATCATTGTCTCGTGATTTGTTTTGTGTTAGTAGTGGTGAACGCTTGGTCAGACCATTAAATTGTAAGAGCTTTTGAAGAAACCTATCACGCCGCTGAGCAATAATAAGTTATTCCGTACAACTCCAGGAAAATGATACTGAAGCTAGTTTTAGGAGCATGTTAAAAACTTAACTAGTTGACATGGGAATTGATGCATTTGTTGCCGAGCCATATCTTCAGCTGAGATAATGCTAATACGGATATCGCGATGTAGAAGATCGTTTGTATGCCGGGTACGAGTTTGCAATTGTAGCAGTAACACCTCGTGTACTTCAGTACTCTTTCTAGAGACCATAAGACTAGGTACTTTGTAACTAACCTGAATTTCAGGGACCTATATCCCCTGGCTTAATCAATCCTTCTCGAACTCTTGAAAAACGCCGTGAACGTGTCCGCAATCCTTTTCTGCATAACCATAGCGGGCTCGACACCCGTGTTGAATACTGAGGACATAAAGTTCACCGGTGTGACATTGTCTTCGATCAGCGATGCAAATTGTTTTTTCTGCAACGGTGTAGTGTGCGAGGGCGAAGTTACAATTTTTAAAATCGTTGCCAGGCTACCTTACTACTAAGATTCTCCGTCAGAATCTTGATTAAGTTTTGTTCTCCTTTCTCCAGCTCGCAGAACTCTTGCAATACGGCCAATTTCCGTCGAGTAATTGCTGCCGCTTGATTGTTCTGGATCTTCAGGATTTGACCACATCTTCAGTTGACTTCGTGCTCTTGGTCCAATGCTCCACCTGCTCTGCCTGTAGCTTCTTCGCAACCTTTCTTGTATGTTCACTGCTCACTGCTAACACGAACCTCTCTGCCACGGCAGTGTCTCCAAAAGTGTTCGTGTATATCTCAATCACTGACTTCTTGTTTTATGTCCCTTCTCGAGGTTATTAAAAATCGTCGACGTAGGTCGCAAACTTGTTTAAGTTATTAGCTTTGAAAACTTTGTCAATTTTGTAGGGAAGCCTTAGCCATTGAAAACTATTTGCTGGCAACTGACCTTCATCCTCCCACTTTTTTAGTAGAGAATTTCCATAACCTCGGCCTGGTGCATCGTGCGGGCATTCGTCTTTGCAGTCTGCAAAAGTGCTCACATCTTTTCTTCACCACAAAGTCCTTTAGTCAACGTGGTAAGCAGAGATGGGGTGAGCAGAGATGCCGTCAAACTAGGCTTCTTAACCGGTAGAATATATTCTGGTTCGTATACGGTTCTTGTAACGGGGTTACACAAGTTTACACCTGGTGTGTTCCACACATAGGTACGGAGTACCCGAAGAGTTAACAGACTCTCAGTACATGACTCGTAGAGTTAACGGTGGCCTCAGTACATAGGCTGAGGGCCACAGGATATGCATTTGATTGGGTTTTACTATGCTAGATAGTTAACCACATACATTTACCCCATAGGCGGCTTGCCGCAATAAAAGATTAATAAACAGTTTTGGATTTAGAACACAAAGAGTAACGACCTTTTATTAAGATTGTTGTTAGTAGGTGCCTTCGGATATTAAGGGCCTATTAACCTTTA